AAATTTGCGGTCTCCACCATACGCCGCCGCCGCCGCTTGCGACAGTAACACAAAGCAGCTGACTCAATCATTTGCAAAAAACACGCAACGCCTCGCGACGGACCGTATGGCCTGCCGCAACATTAGGCAACCAACGAGCATACTCCTTCTATCTACTCGGCGTATGAAGATTTATGGCATGTGTTTTGGTAACACTTTGTAGCCGTTTACTTTATTTAGGCAATTCATTTAAATTTCATTGTTCTTATTTTATTTTTATTTTTATTGACTGTGGCGGTTGCTTAAGCTTGTACGAGTGGCTTGTTGACGTTGCTGTTGTCGCTGCCGTTTTCGCTTGAGGGGCTGCCTGTCACTCAATTATTTTAGCACAACAAAATTTGTTCAAATTCGACATTTTCGCAGTGAATAGCAAAACTTTTGCCACTGCTGCTCTACAATGCTTTTTAGATTTTTCAGTTTTTAATTCTCCGCTGTCGCCATATTTTTGGGTGCACTAATTTATTTTCCCTGCTCAGAATCGACAAGTACTCCGACGACGAAACGTGAGCTGATTGTCATTTATTTCCTCTTCTTGTGAGTTGTGGAAATTTGTTTAAGTTTCGTGGCATGATTAATTCTAATAAAGTTGCCATTGGCGTTGGTTGGCGGCTGTGACGGCAGCGCCTTTCAATTGTGGCCAAATTTGTGGTGTTGCGGCTGTCACTTTGTATGCACCAGTTCACTTATTTATGTTCTTATGTGCTATTTAAGCGCCGCGACTATCACCGCCACCGAGACACCAGTTGAATGCAAATGTGGCGTAATTTGACGGATTAATACCGATTTGCGCTTTAATTGCTTTTAAGTTTATTTTGACACATTTGGCGGCAGCACAACAGGCGGCAGCACAACAGGCGGCTGCTTTTGTTATTCTTTTTTTTTGTCGGTTTGTTTTTTATGGATATGATTTTTTCAATGTTATTTTAAGTTAAGTGCGCGTACAAAGATTAAGTGTTCGCGCCAAATAAATTGACTCTAATAGAGCGCGAAAGTAATTTAATAAACATTTTTTTACTTACATACAGTACTTTCAACAAGAAGGCCTTAATGTCCAATAAAACAAACTATATTTCATTGCCTAGTGCGCAACATAGTTGTAAAAATAATCCGTTACTCCGTTACGCTCTACGAAAAAAAAAAATCTTTTTAGAATTTGTTCCGTATACATATGCATGCGAAACGTTGGATATGATCTCGAGCATGTCTTGAAACGGTCCCTAAATGGCCCCTTATCAGTCCCGTAATGATTCCGAACTAGTTCCAAATTGGTCACAAAATAGTCCTGAACTCGACACAAAATCATACCGAAATGTTCCTGAAGTAGTCTAGAAATAGTCCAGAACTAATACCAAAATGGTCCTCAAATAGTCATGAATTTGTCCAAAAATGATCCTGAGCAGGTCGCGAAATTATCCAGTACTAGTCCCGAAATGGTCCTGAAATGTTTTGAAAATTGTGCAAATTTTACCCATTCCGAGAGCTAAGATCCTTACACATCAAAAAGTCAAGTGTGGAGGACGAAAGTCTTTCGTTGTCAATTCTGGCAATTGTCTTGAAAACTCTTTACTGTTTTCGAGGGTTATCTGGCTAGAGAGGACCGAGGAATCCTATTGGCAAGCGCTGATACTGCTCAATGCAGAGTCCCTTGGTGCGCCCAGCAATACCAATGGGGTCATATTCTATGGCTTCAAGAAAGTGGTTCTAAGGATCCTCCCGACCGGAGCCAAAGCTGATGACCCTCCGCCTCCAGTAGCGCCGGAGTAAAGTAGGGTGCCCCTTTACTCTGCGGTGCAAAGAGCTATTAGACTCACGGAAGCCGGTTGGTGGACCGACTTAAGGAGTGGACAGTCTGGTGTTCTAGGGGGCTACGATTTCATCCCTGACCCCTCGGATTATTGCCTACTTTCCCTCAAGGGAGGATTAGGCCGGACGGAACTTCTGGAAAGGGAGAGCGGTGAACTTCTTCGGCAGGGTTAATGGCGGGGTCTTCTGTCGAGAGCTCTCCATCGGCAATAAGTTCAGGCTACCGGACTTCAGCAGTGTATTCCAGGCCAAAGTGGCTATCAAGGAGCTTGCGGATTCATTGCTCCGGAGTGCTGCATATGACAGTCAGGAAGGTGAACATTTATTCTGATAGCCAAGCGGCTATGAGGGCCTTAAGTGCGTTGGAAGTGCACTCTAATTTGGTTAAGGAATGTCTTCTCTCCCTTTAAGTCGCGTAGGAGTTCTAACGGGTCTCTTTCCAATCGGTGTATTCACGCAGTAAGGCTGAGAATACTACTTGTCGCAGTTGCCTGGAAGATGACGACGTGGAGTCACCTCAAAACTACCTTCTTGGTACCCAGCGTTTGCGAAGCTACGGTTGGAGTACTTTGGCTCTTACATCCTTAATAGCCCCGAAGGGAAATCTAATAAGTCTTGTTAAGTTAGCCCCGAATGCACGGGGCTGCCACCTAACCTAACCTATAAATAATATAAGCCAAATGATAATAAAGCCAAAATAAATAAAACTATGTGTAAAAATTAAATGAAATAAAAAAAGAATTAAAGAATTAAATGTAATAATTGAAACAAAATTAAATTAGAAAAAATAAATCAAATAAAAAACTAGTACTTAAAAATTAAAAGAAAAAATATTTTTTTATTGTTAAAACAAAATACAGAAATTGAAAGTAAATTAAATTAAAAAAGACAAAAAATAAAATAAAATCCTGAAAATTTAATGAAATAAAAAAATAAATATATTTTTCTCTTTAATACAACAAAATCTAAAATTAAAAAGAAAATTGAATCGAATTAATAAAAATAATTTACTTAAAAAGGAGAAAAAAATTAAATACGTTTCTTAAAATTGTATTTAATTAAAAAATATACTTTGTTAAAAAAAAAAATAAGTCTAAAAAAATATAAAAAATTCATATAAAAAGTCTCAAAAAATTAAATGCAAATTTAAAAATATAATTTATTTATTTAATAAGTTCACCGAAAATTAAATACAGAGAGGATGAAAAAGAAAAAAATTATAGTAAACAAAAAATTCACTTCCCGAGGTTTCGAACCTGGCACACCGGTGCTTTGCTCACTCGGCTATTGCGACTGTTGGAGCGAGGCGATCTAAATGATATACAAAAGCCTTCTTTAAAAAAACTGTTTCACCAAAAGTGCTGAATGGGAGAGCTTTTTTTCAAAGACTTTTTTTCTAGAATAACAAAATTCTTTCGAACTATTTTGCCATATGTTCTTCACTTGCTTTACGAAAGATTTTTTAGTATCTTTACTATAATTGTCCTTTAAAACAACAACGTCTAATTTTATAAGTAAATGTTTTTGCATATATGTAAAATTTTTTTTTTCACTATGCGCGAGGATGCATTCTAGGTGTAATTCTAAGCAAATTTTCCGAAGAAACTATGGGTCTAAAATCAATTTGGGTTTTGCCAAATTGCGAAAATAGGTTTCGAAGAAAATGTGAAAATTTTCACTGTCGCGCCCTCTGGTGAAATTTTTAAAAAAAAGATAAGTGCAAAAATGTTTTCCTCATACGAAAAAACTTTTAATTTAAGCACATCTTTACGAATCTACAGCAAAATGCTAAAAAACCTATTTTCGGAATTTGGCAAACTTCAAATTTATTTTAGAGCCATGATTTCTACGGTAAATTTGCACGTAGAATCTTTCTGTGCTATGCCCTCATAGTCGAAAAATCTGCCATACAAATTGACCCGCCCTAATATACATATTATATTTTTTCACAATATTTTATTTTTTTATTCTCCAAGCTACTATGAAAAGACATTCATGCAGAAATATGCCATAATCCATTGCTATTAATAATATATCGATGGCTGAGTGGAAGATCGACCTATCTCGGCAGCCAGTTCGAAAACGCCTTATCTCAAAAAACTTTTCAAGAACGCCCTATTTCAGAATTTAATTGAAAAACACCCTATCTCCAAATTCAGTTCAAAAACGCCCTATCTCACTTCAAAATGTATGGAAAATATGCTGATATAGGGCGTTTTTGAATCGGCAGCTGAGATAGGGCGTTTTTGAAACGAATTCTGAAATAGGGCGTTCTTGAAAAGTTTTCTGAGATAAGGCGTTTTTGAACTGGCTGCCGAGATAGGTCGATCTTCCACTCAGCCATCGATATATGAATATATACAATTTTGTCCCTGCCATTATTTTTCGATACATAAATTTTTTGTTTTTTTTTTTCGTAAAAAAATGGAATTCACCATCAAGCTACTAAGTATCAAGTATTTAGTAAGCTGTAAAATATTTTACGTGCATTGAGGTAAACTTACGCGGTGGTAGTTTTGCGACTTTTATTTAACAGTCCAGTGATCGAGCTTAAAGAAGTCACCGATAAATTTTTCAAATCCAAAACAATAGATGAGACAAAAGATCGATAGCAAATCCTTAGCTCATACAGTTCGGTTCGTTTAAAGGAGTTTCGTTGAACTGCATCAAATTTTCCATATCGGAAAAATGCCGACTTATTCCCTTTGCTAATTAATCGATTTGAAATACAAATACTCCGAGCAAATCAAGAAACAGTCTTCCGAGATAAGTATTCTAGAAAGTATGTACGCAAGTTTCACTATCCTATGTATACTAGGTGAAATTTTGCTTAAAATATATGATAACATAATTTATAATAATGAACGTTTACAACTATTTTTACCGGAAATATGAAAATCTAATAACATTGGACATATTATAATAGAAAAAAATTTTTAATAGAGATTTTCTACTGATCTAAAGTAAACATTTTCCAAGTAAAGGCCTTCATATTGAAAAAAAAACTTTATTTTGCTGATTTCCCTAGATACTACATAGATTATTTAAAAATAAGCCTCCCCCATTCTCTTACACAATATTTTATTATAAATATTTATTTAGACATGACCAAATGACAGTGATTGACTTTCATATTCTTCGCTCTTGTTTATTTACAGTTTGGAATTGCATCGCATTTCAAGTGGCCGCTGTGCGCAGAATTTTAAAAACAGAAAACTTTGTTGTTTATTTTGTAGACGTTATACGTGAGAAAAGCAGATGTTTTAAAAATTGTGAGTATATTTAAATGTAAATAAGCATTTTGTATGTATCTTTTACCCAGGCGACGATACACATTTTGGATTAACCCTCTCAGTACAAAAAATCAGCCATGAAGCTAAAAATCTGAAAATTTGTTTACCGGCTAATTTTGGATCATTGATTTCAAAAATGCAATCAAACATTTTATTAAAGCTCTATTATATTCGACAGTTGTACTATAGATTTGTAAAGAGGGAAGTGATATCAATAATTTTTTTTTTTTTTTTTTTTGTTTTGGGAAATATATTTAAAAACTGAGAATGACATTTAACCTATTCCACCGAAAAATAATTATTTGTTCCTATATATCACACTATTCAATTTAGACTTTTGTGACACTTTTCACTTTTATGAAAAGATACGGTCAACTAAATCTCGAAAATACAGTAAAAGAAATGCGATAAATAAGAATGATATACATATCTCAAAACAACTGTTATTTTAAAAACAAAATCTCTTAATTAAGAAAAAAAGAGCTTTAAGTAACATATTGGACGATTGTACTGAAAGGGTTAAGTAGTCGTACATACATATTAAAAAAACAACACTTTTATAAAATTTTTAGCGAATTACATATGTACATGTTCATAACCTTCAAAAAGTGCACGCAAGAAGCTTTAATTGTGCTATGGTGAAGCGAAAAATCGGATCATTAAAGAAGCAGAATTTTCAAACTATTATTAACTAGAGTCTAGTTCCTACAGCTTTAAATAAATAATTGGGTATTATTATTGAGAGTCTCCTGAAGAGAAACAGAGTTTTGCGACCTAAAAATGTTGATGTTCAAGAATTCTATACCATTTCTACGAAACTTAAAATACAAATTGCCTCGGACAAATGCCATAATATTGGACATTTATTTGCATAAGCATCTTTTAAATCATTTATAAAAATTTTGTGCCAAGATGCAGTCCTGATCTATTGAAAAGTCTGACGTGTGCGCACGTTCATATAAGAGCGACTTGCAGACTTTCTACTTTGAACGCGATCGGGCTGCTCTTCCAACTATTTAGTCTTCCCTGATACATCTCCATGTGATCAAAGCGAGCCCGACTAAAACGGCGACCAATAGAGAATGCAGTGTGCGGGTGCCCTTACACTACTTGCTTTTAAAGTATCGATATCATAAATGCATAGACTGGGAGCTATCGAACCCAACGAAAATATGGCTCCATCTAGTTAGACCACATCTAAATATTTAGGGAAAAAACTATGTATATGCAATCGATTGGTCATCGATCAGTCAGGACTGGTCACTAATTTTCATCGTTGTGTCGACTTTTTTAATTGAATCATCGTAAATGCTTGGATATCGTACTAGCACATACAATTTTCCACCCCTATTTCGAAAAATAAATTAAAAAAAAAAACGACGAATGGGGACGTTTTAGATCCCAATTATTAGGATAATAATTATTTTGGGTCTCTGATATATGTATGTACTTATTTGCATCCATATGTATGTACGTACCATTAAAAAAACTATAAAAATTCGTCATTATCATTAACATTTGTCATTTTATGATGAATTCAAAATACTTATACCTTAACGCTGGCAATTTCATGCAAACAAAGCAGTTTCCCATTAATTGACAGCATTTTCCTTTTTTATTTCATTGTTGCAAATGCATGAGACAATTTAAATTGTAGACGAAAAAGCCATAACTTGCGCCACACTGCCCACATTGGCCACATGCAAGTTGAGTGCTACTAAAAATCATTAACTATCTTCATAATTAATACTGACACTGTGGTTAATACATAAATGTACATAAATATGTATGTATATATGTACAATGTATATGAAGGCAGACGAGCGGAGGAGTTGCGTAAGGCGAGAAGGAGCAGAAAATTCCAAATGCACTTAAAGTGCCATAAATTTGAAATTCTTACTTTATTACCAGTGTCTAAAGAGCTACTTAAGTGACACCTCCATGCAAAGTGATGCACAGTAAATGCGGGGAATAAAAGCAAATGCAACATGGAAGACATTGTGGCAGCCAAGCAAAGTGCAGTCCTAGGCTTTTCGGTGATAGAATTTTGTACTAAAAGCAGTGAGCTGATTTGTGGCTTTCGTTTAAATAATTTACTAAACTACAATCTGTGATAACACTGCAGAAAAGTGATTTTAATTGAATTTGTACTTTAGACCCGGGCGGGGTTCCCAAACGTTTAAATTTTAATGTGAAGAATGAAATTTTTCACTGTTATTAAATATTGCTCTATAGTTCGATATTTTCTATGTCTAAAAGCTGTATGCGCATTTCTGGGGTAGCATCCAATTTCGACCTGAATTTGGTTTTTGTATAAGCGTAAGCTGAAAACCCTGTTAACAGAGTACGTTGTGACAGAAGGACCTTAGCCTTGCAGGTAGTTTTTTGGCTTGTTATTCACACCTAGTACTAACCCAAAACTCGTTCAGAGACACAGACTCAAATGTGTGTTTCAGTGTCGAAGTACTCTGAAGATTTTCCGAAAAATAATGTGAAAAAGATCTCAGGAGATTTAAAAAGTGCCCCGTTGTGACCTTTAACTTTTCTTTTGACAATTCATCGCGTTTCTTGTAGAAAGTTGTATTAAAGTGGGAAACATTCAATGCTCTTTTTTCCATACAGGTAATCCAGAAATTAAATTTACATTCAAAGGATGATAATTTCTCTCAAAAAAAATACAGCTGTTGAATAAAAAAAAAATCTCAAAAAATTGTTTGGGCTGAACATATAGCAGGCGGTCCCAACTATTCCCCACTTATAAATATAATTATTGTTATTATTTCATAATTTGATCATAAATTCATTTTAAATATGTTCGATCAAATACAATAAATCAGTAATTTTGCTTAACAAATATGTATATTGTGTTACTCAACTAAAAATTACAGTTGATTTGACAGATTTAAATTGAAAAAGTTTGAATGTAATATAGAGCTCGAGATCAGTGAGCCTTAAAACGTAGTACATTTACTTCTTGAGAAATTCTCCTTATATTTAGAGAATATGACAGCGCATTCGACAGCTGTCAAATCTCATGGTTTTAATTTCACGTAAAATTCATGACTAGCGTGTCTAAAACCCTTACCAGTAGCATTTAAAAAACATTTCTTATATCAGAAAAATTAACAGTCAATTTGACAGCTGTAAACTCTCAAAGCTTCAATTTGACGTAAAATTCGTGATCAGCATGTTTAAAACCCGTATCAGTAACGTTTTTAAAAAGATTCTCTGATTTTTATAAAAATTGGCAGTCCGGTTGACAGCTGTCGACTGTCAAACTTTTAATTTGACATAAACTTCGTGACTAGCGTGCCTAAAAACCTAAAAAGTGGTATTTTCAAAGAGATTTTCTTACTTTTAGAGAATTTAGCAGTTGATTTGACAGCTGTCAACTGTCAAACTAAAAATTTTATGGCATATTCAGATTTAGCATAACAAAAATATTACGATGATGCATTTTTATTACAATCGTAACAGCCCTTCTAATTTTTCGCGTAAAACATAGCTTCTCCGACCACTGTGCGGTGTTAAGAAAAAACGTTTTTTCTATATTTTCTTTTGTGACATTGCTTCGTCAATCGTAGTGCTAGAACGCAAGTCTCACCCTTCGACTACAGTGGCCAACAACACTTACAAATTAGAAAAAAAAAGTACAATCAAGCGAAACGCTCAACGCTCTTATGTAGGTATGGCACTCACTACGGCAATCATACCAATTACAAGTACATATACTCGAACATAGATAATTGCACCTCGGTCATGCTGTTCATAGAACTTTTATTTGTGTGTGCAACCCAAGCCGACTGCCGACTGCCGAATTTTAACAACCAAAAAATAATTTTTTCACACAACCCTGGTGACTTGTCTACGGAACCCTTGGGTTCAGCGGAACCCACTTTAGGAAGCTCTGCTGTGTGAGAATTGTTTATTTTTCGCCGTTGAAGAAGTATGTACATACAAATATGCAATTGCCGTTGCAACAAAATCTACAAACGCGCATGAGCCTCATTAGCGCGTGTCATTGGACTTTTTATTTCTAATTTTTACACTCTTTTTATAATGGACTACCATCCCTCTGTGTCCGATCCGAGTCATATCGCAATTGCAAAACTTAATGAAGTGCAAGCTATAAGCGTCAGTCTTCATTTCGTCAGGTTTTGCTGTTGGCAAATAATGTCAAATGCCTTAGATGTCACAACTAGCTATGTACGTCAGCATCGCATAGCGAATGCCGACGAGTTGTATGTTGCAAAGGCGGCAGACACGTCCCACGGTTTCCTGTGCGCCATGCGCCAGTTGCAAATGGAGTTGACCGCCGTACGCTCCGGCCGGGAAAATGCCAACTCACTTGTATCCTCTACATCTGTTGAGACACTATTATCCAAGCTGCTGTGTGTAAGTTGATACGACCCATGAGATTGAGATAAGCATTTAGTTTGTCTGCAACTGAAGCTGGTCGCAGAAGAATTTTACAAATGCTAACTTGGAAGAATATATCTGTAGTTTTGCTGTTGATATTATAGAAGGAATTTTAGCTAATGTCCAGTAAACCTAAAAACTTCAATCAGTCGGCTAACAACACTACCTCGCAAAAATAAAGCCGAATGTTCCAATCGTTTTTGAGTGCTTCCTCTGGAATTTTTCAGAAAAGAAAAAGCAAAGCCTATAATAGATAGATAATAATAGATTAGCGCTTACACATTTGTTAGTGTTTGGTCGAGCTTCTCCTCCGATTTGTGGCGTGCGCCTTGTGGTTGTCACACAAAGTGGAGGGACCTACAGTTTTACGTCGACTCCGAACGGCGATAGTATTTTTATAAGAATCTGTTTTTCATGGCAGAAATACACTCGGAGGTTTGCCATTGGCTGCCGAGCGGCGACCGCTGTTAAGAAAAAACCTTTTTTCAAATTTTTTTTTGCGATGTGAAAGCGCGCACTGCTTACCACTACACACAAAATGTGCACCGACGCTTCATTGT